TGTATGTACTCATGTATGTATGTATGTATGTATGTATGTATGTATGTATGTATGTATGTATGTATGTACATACTATAACGACTTATACTGTACATGTTCTCTTGTATGACGCAGACTTGGACTCTCACAACTCAGCAATGAAGGCGAGGCTTATCGCTTGAAACTTGAAAGATGGAGTATGAGCTTCTGCCTCTGGTCCCAGGTGGTGCCCGTCGGCCGACATCGAAATATCATCTGAGGCAAAAACATGTAATACAGGGCGTGCTTCACTGTCCTCAAAAACGCAGCTGCGGAGCAGAATTGCGAAATCTTTCGGGAAAGCTGTCGGCACCTCTAAAAGATGCCTAGCCTAGCTGAAGGGGTCGGATATGAGGATGCCATGAGGTCGCTTCCTTTCAAGCAGTCGGGGAGGCTGTGCGGAAATAGGCATGGCGGCTTTAGCTGCAGTGAGCTGGCATCTTAGAGTTTCTCCTTAGAGCGCATGTCAAGTAACGCACTTGCAACAGCTGAGCATTCTGAGACGGTCCGCCCAGCTCCCGTAAGAGCTGTCTGTACAGCACGGCATCTCCAGAGTGAAACAAAGCTCCTTTGACTAAAATCGTCTGCGACAGGGCCCTTTCGATCCCGGGCTCGCAGCAGCAGAACGACGAACGCCTGAGCAAACCTCACATCTGAAACCAGTCCGGAGTATGTAGAACCAAGAGCTGTCGAGGCAACAATACTGTGTGCCCCCTGTACACGGGCTGCAACTGCACTTCACAAACAGCCCAGCATGGCTCAGTTCTCCTCGAGATTTATCGCTGTCGGACCTGTAGCTTCTGGCCGACAAGCCGGGTAGACAGCAGGCTGCCAACACCTGGGCTCAGCCAAGTTGGATGCAACTGATTATACGATGTCTCGCCCTGAAGCTGCTGGTAGAAAGACTCAGGTCTGCAGTTGCCTGAATAGCTTGGAAGATTCAATGTGGCGTGCTGTCAGGAAACAAAGAAGCGTAATGAGTAGAATTAGCAGTTAGGTGGGGCTTGAATTCGTTGACAGCTTTCGCACATCATTCCATTTTGCCTGGGAACGGCCGTTGGTGTGCTTTGGCGTTCTGTACCGTCGAGGCTCATGTGCATGTACGCGAATCACGTCCAAGCCTCGGCAAGGCTTGTGTTGGATCTGCTTGCGAGCTACGGCACTGGCACCATTTCTGCCGAGACGCAGATGTGGGTCTCGTCACGGAGAGGTCGGGATTCCTGGGTGTCATGCCCCACCCAAACAGGCAGCACATCAGCGCCACCAACAACGCAAACGGAATCTCTGCTTTTGGGAGCCCTTAACTGCCCTCAACAATTCAAGGCTTTTACAATTCAGTATGCTGACTGTGAGACTGATGACAGGTGTTTTGCGACCCCGTCACGTCTCCCACCAACGAGCCGCCACCTGAATTGCTGCACCGTTGTCGAGCATGAATGCGTGCGAGTGCTGAGGTTGCTACCCTATTCTTGTAGTCGCTCTTTCATCTCTGGTTGGCTCGCTGCTTCCCACAGCACATATCTGGAGACCACTGAGCAACAGGACAGAAGCACCTGACGCTTTTCACCGAGTACTTCTCAGGCCGTGGCATGCCAGCCGCTGTTCGCTCTCTGGAACAGCGAAGTTGGTCTCGATTGACATCTTGATCTCCCTGCACTCAGCTTTCCAAACTTCGGCGATTTTCCGGAGCCAAAGCCATGGCAAGTTTCAAGCCCGAAGAGTCATGGTCTACCACAAGTCTAGCAAACTAAGAGGCAGCCACTATTTCCAAAGCATGGCCCTGTTTGTCCAGTCACCCAACAATGGGAAAGTGCAATAGTGTTGCCTGCCAGTCGATGTGTCCTCAGGATGCAAAGCGGTACCGTTTTTGACAGCTTGATAAACGACCGGACACAGCTGGTGCATGGTGCCAGTGTCGCATGCCGAGTGTTTTGCATCTTGCAGATGTCGCTCAAACCCCTTTGAAAGCCAACTTATAATCCAATGACAATACCACTATAGAGCTATTGACAGATTGCAGCCAAAGGCACCGGCAGCAACATCGTTCGACTCTCACCTCAGATTGCTGTGGAACCGCGCAAGAACTCGGAATGCGAGACCACTGCTGCCCGAGGGCCACCCAGCAGCCGCACTGTCACTTTGACCAGCGTAGTGGATGTCTGTGCTGGTGGCCGCCTGCGTTGTGCATCATCAGAAGGAAGCGTGCATTTGGGGGATGTCGGGTCTTAGCGGTTCCAGACAGCATGCAAAGCACGGCTAAAGAGCGAGGCAAAGCGCCCAAGAACGCCCAAAGCTTGCAGCTCAGGAGCAAGACCGATCCGAGACCACTCCTTGCACAGAAACTTAACAAGGATCGCCAAAACAAATCGCCTATGGGAACTTCTGAAGTAGGGTCTCGTTTCGGCCACCTCTGCGCAGCCGAGAAGCATGCAACCAGCTGGCTCCAGTGCACCCGAGCTTTCGACTTGTCCCATGGCCCTCTTTTTGTGCCAACTGAACAAAAGTTAATTCTGAGCCGAAAAGGCAGGCCGGAGGACCGAGTTTCATGAGTAGATCATAGAGAATGTGAGGTCTCGACTCGATGCGAGATCGGTCTAGGCTCTCTAGTTTACCAACTGTCTTGGCGTCTGGTGACATCAGGCTGCCGCCATGATGCCGTCTCTCTCGCTCTCTCTGTCTCCGTGCTCACAGGCTGAAGTCGTTCATGCAGGACCGGTGTCTCGCGCCTCTTCGGTCAGATCCTTCACGTAAACGCCCAGGCCCTGCTGATTCTGACATGAGTGTCTGGGGGCACAATCGGCATAATCAGGGGCGACCCAGTTGGTAGTATTCCTTGCACCTCTTCGGGCTCGCCGATTGCATCGCATGCGACACGACTTAAACCCGCGTGCATGAAGCAGTTCCGGTGCTAAGATTGACGATGCCATAGAGCAGACTGAGCTGAGATGGGCGTTTCGAACCCTTCCTATTCAAGATGGGGCTTTTTTTTGTCCATGCAGGCATCACGGCAGCCAATGATTGAGTCGATGAAGTGGCGCCGGTCCTCTTCAAGTGACAGCGCCAGACAGACATTCAGCGATGCTTGCTGGAACCCACGTTGGATGACAGCTTAACTTGCAGTTTTGTTTTTGAACACCTGAAACTTGCATGATGTCACTAGACTCGCGACCAAGTTGAGGGAAGCTGTCAGCCATAGGGGTGCAGAAACGCGGGTTCAAAATAAGAAAGCCAAAGGCTTCAGCTACTCAGCAGCTAACCCTGAATTCCAATGCATAACTCCGGGTGGACGCCCGAAAAGTTTCTGCGAAACTCGTATCGAAGACTTCCTCGTCAGCATGCGGAATGTAAGATGAGTAAGGCCCACCTGCCTAGCCCAAACAGATCCGCGCGCCTGCTTATGATTCCTGATTTCAATGCCTACGTAAACTGTCGTTGAGCTTCACATGGCTTCCCTCCGGACGAAGGCGGTCCCCTTGACCCTATGGCATCGATCGCACAGTACCTCCATGGCAGCTCTGTTCCTGATCTATAGCGTTTTGGGAGTGGCACTGGCGCATAGCACAGGACACAAGGACTGACAGCGCGTTCATGTGCGCTGAGGCTAGAAGTTGAAGTTGGGGCGGCTACAGGTCGAACTGTGCGCTCGAGTCATGCACGAAAAACGATATTCTGTTAACGAGGGCTCCCTTAAGGACGCCGAGTTAAATGGGGTGGTGCAAGCACAGCGCTGTGAGAAAATACGTGCTGAGAGTCTTTGTCGCTGTAGACACTGTAGTGCTTCTTCCAAGCATGCAGCAGGCTCAACCCGGAATGAACGTTCTCGAAATGGCTGGTTGCATGATCTCACCTCACATGTATTACATTGTGCATATAAATCGTGGGCCAACAGTGCAAATCAACGTTGCGCATCTAAGGCAAAACAGGTGGCCTGCCTACGAAGCAAGCAGCGCGCATACACAGACAGGGACATACCCACGAACGGCGTTATACATGTACATGCGTACACAGAAGACCATATGTACATCTGCGTATGCATGCCAATGCACAGCATGCGTGCGCAATATTGAATCACGTCTGCATCCCGGCCTATTGCAACTGCTGGGTACCCCTGAAGAAGAAAGAAAACTGAGGCAATATTGAATCATTAGACAGGTCAAACATCTTTCACTGCACAGCAAACTTCTTCAACAGTCAGTAATTAATTATACACGTCAGGAAGCGCACAAATCAACCTGTCCGTGCTTGCCTGTGAAGGTGTGTGAGTGTGCATACGCGCCTGTGTGTCTGCAGCATCTGTGTGCAGGCTTGTGTGCGTGTCTCTGTGCATACATAATTAAATTCACAGGGATTGGTGCATGGACACGCCCATGTGCGTTCGTGTGCATGTGCACTTAAACTTGTTCAACAACAAACATACACAAAACACATACATAAATGTGTATATAGTAAAGTATACATATATATATATATATACACACACACGCACGTACACACACATACATCCATGCACGCAGAGAGATATACAGATAAACGTCAATGAAAAGGAATACTTATTCAACCATTGCATGCAGACGCATACAAAGGTGTGTGCTCACCCATGCACATGCTCAAACTCAGGCGCACGTGTTTGAGAGCATTCTTGTGCACTAGATTCTGAAGTCTCCGTGCTTTCTACGTACTGTATAGTGCCATAAATCTCTCTGCATGCATGTAATTTTGCCTGCATCTTTCGCCATGTGTGTGTCAGCACGCAAAACACACACACTGACCTGCCAAGAACAGATGCGGCAGTGCAATCAAACAAACCAATGCAAGTGTATACATGCAATTAATGCCTACATACATACATGTTTTGGCACTCGCTCTCGATGAGGTTAGGCGAGGATCCCAGGAAGCAACGACTATCCAAGCTGGTTCCTTTCGAACCTATGCAGTGTCAGCACATACATACATACATACATACATACATACATAGATACATACATACATACATGCATACATTTTTGGCACTCGCACTCGACAAGCAGGCGAGGGTCCAGGCTCTCGGGAATACATACATACATACATTACATGTTTTGCACTCACGCTCGACTAGGTCAGGCGAGGTTTGTGGGAGCAACAAACTACGTAACAAAAGGCTCGTTTCGAGCATCCATATATATATATATATGTGTGTGTGTGTGTGCATGCATGTATGTATGTACGTGTGTATGTATGCATGTATGTAAGTATGTATGTATGTATGTGAATATGTATGTGTATATGTATATGCACATGTATATGTATATGTGTTGCTCATGCGCATGCACCGACAAGCTTCGGCAGCTTTACTCAGCGGATGGAGAAGCCGACCTCTCCACCGGCCGTCGACTACTGACCCGGTTGAGCTCAACCTGCATGAGCAAGCAGGCTGCATTCGCACATGCCGCGTCACGGGAGCTCTCGTGTACAAGGCACAAGTACGTGACATGTGAGCGGTCGCCTCGAGAGGTGGACATGTAGAAGAGATATGCAATAAGTCAACACCAGCAAAAATACCAGCTTTTGGGTTCCACGCGCATCTTATCTTCAGAACATTCCTGCTGCGTTCGGAGTAGGGCCGGTTCGCAAGATCCAGACAGCGATCCGGGAGAAGCCACGCCAGTGGCCGGCAGTTCCATTAGTTGTGAGAGCTATGGGACTTTTTTTTTTTGACATTGGCGGTGCACTGTGACATCAGGCTCAGAGTACACATAACGCGATTGAATCTGTCTCGTGAAGCGTTTTGGCCGTTCAAGCTGCTGTCCCACCATTTTTGTGGCATTCGACCTTCCGGTCGAGTTCGATTGTGCAGTCAGTGGCACTTCGGCCAGAATTGCTGTCTTGCTAGTTGCTCGATCGCTGGCTTTTTGTGGAAAGCCGTCGCCGGTAATAACGGCAATAACAAGAATCCGAAAAATGGATGAAAGCCGTCCAGGTTCTGGGTTTTCGCTTAGCGTGGCAGATGCACGCAGGGAATAGCTTTTTGCACCAACTCTCCAACAAAACAGTCTGCAACGCCAGGTCTTCTTCCACCTCCTGAAAAGCTCTCAGAAACATCGAGATCGAAGGTCGGCCTGGAGCTACTGAGGAACGCTTCGCTCTCGCGATGGCCGTCGCGCCAAGTAGCGAGCAAGTACACGGCCGCGAGGAATGTCCTGCTCAAAGGGGCGCAAGCATGCCAATCCGTTTGCACCACGACGAATCGAACCCTTACGCCGAAACTAACTGCACCCAAGCATCGTCGCTGTTGACTGGCCGACCGTAGACACGGAAAGCAAAGCGTGCCCGAGACTCGTCTCGCTTGCGCCCCTGGAACGCCACACAGACATTGTGCAGTCAGCAAGCTTGCAAAAAAAACTTAGTCAACAACGCCACTCCAGCATGGTGCAGCATTCCACCTCTCCCCGTCAATTCACAAGCAATCCTCGGGAGCTAGCTCGCAGCTCCAACCCAACATGTGCCAAAAGGCTTCGCGCTCCCGTGCATCCGCAGCGTCACCTTTTGAAAGCGGTCAGTGCTGCTACTCCTGAACGCTGAACTTCAAGTATTCAGTATGGACATCCACGAACTGCTGCCACTTCTTGCCACCGTCTTGCTGAACGACTGAAAACAGCTGAACAAAACACTCCAGACAAAAAGTCGATACCCTTCTCAACTATCAGAATCCATCGTGAACTCAAGATGGCCGCTATTCATTACTTCATTCTCCTGTTCTGCTTTGGCATAAGACAAGGCTTCTGACACTCCAGCTTCTAATGCTGTACAAACAAACCATCCCAGCCGCTTCTGTTGGCCGCCCGTCGGAGGCTTTGACCCGCCTTATCTTTGCACCACCGGAGCTGCAAGTTAAGGCAAGTAAGGCAAAATTAACAAGACAACGGGTGCATGAAAGGGGCATGGAACTCTCAAGCCTTCTACATTCAACAATGCTGGCCTCTTCTACAGTACTTCCCAAGCAGTTCAGCCTTCGGCTGAGCTTCTTTTTATCCTGCATCCTAGGAGTCCACTCTTCGCAACTTAGCGACATCGATGTCGCGCGGCTTGCCGCCGGCTGCATCTCCATTGGATTCCGCGACCACCCCGGCCACAACAGGGCTTCCTACACGACAGAGCTCCCGTTTCAGCAATGCTCGCATGTCTTGATCAGGGATTATGACTATGGCTATTGAAGTCCATGGAATTTACTGTAGCAAGCACGCAGCCACCATGCAGGTTCCGGGTGATCTATTCACAGCTCGCAGCTCGCAACAAACCTCCTACAAGTGCCGATGCTTTGACACGCAGACTGTTGCCAAACTTTCCCAAGTCTAAAGCGGAAGGCAACAGCGACGGCCATCTACTACCGCGCACAGCCGCAGCCTAAAGAGTGAGGCCCGAGGATGAGCTCGTTGAGGATACCCTTGCAGGCTTGGGTGGTGCTCTGATGCTCTTGCAGCAAATTTCAGTCATCTGGACCATCTGAATTAATGCAAAGCATGAGGTAAGCGCAGATATCGACGCATACGAGGCTCCCTGCAATATAGGAACATATAGAGTCGGCAGCATGCAGTCGACGCACTTCACTGTACAAGGATTCAACTGGCCGTTTAGCTTCTCTTCTTGGAGTCACCTTCTGCTAAAGGACATGTGGGCTAGGCTAGGCCCTCATCAAATGAACCCAGAGACCGTCAGCAACCAGCCTGCATCTCAAGGAGCTTCTGGGAAAGGCTCCCCTCCATATCTTCGAAGTAAGTCTTGGTAGTCTGCCCCCACGCGCTCGACAGGTTGCCTGTGCGACGTCTCGTCAACACCGACTCGAAGCAGCTGAACAGTAAGCACAAGGTCAACCACAACTTCCGCGATGACTGCCAAAACGACGACAAGAGTGAGCACGAACGGTGGAATTTTAATCACCACCATACCATCGACAATCAAAATGAAAGCTTGCTTGGCCGCTCTCTTCAAGCACACTGGCTGTACTCACACGCCTGAGAGCTCTCCTGGCCCCTACAGTACGCTATAGTCACTGTTCCTGCCTGCTAATGCTAGCCGCTGCTCGTGCTCTTTGCTGTCCTGTCGTTTGTCATCTTGTCATCTTTCCGTCCTGTCTCCTTTCCTGATATCCGTCCTGTTGGACGGGGGGGCGGGGCCTGAGACTCGAGAGGGGTGCGTGTGCGAAGTGTTGTCCTTGATTCAAACTCAACAGCCCACTGTGGATGGGGAACAACAACAACCGCAACAGCAACAACACAACAACACCAACACCGGCGCCAACACCAACACCCTTTGTAAAGAAGAGTCATAAACCAGCAGCACCACCAGCTCGACCACCACCGTCACTACCCGCACAGCAAACCCCTTCCAGAAACAGCAGAGCAGCAGCATTAGCATCGTCGTGATAGTTGCCGTATTGCGGACCGAGCAGCAAGCAGGAAACAAGCAGTCAAGCAGGACAGCAAGCATTGAGGCGTGGTGGGCACCCTTTGTCAACAACGCATAGACCCAAATTAAAGTAACAATGCACACCGCCAACCAGCAGCAACAATATCAAGCAGCAGGATTGATCTAAATCTGACAAGGACCAGGCCGGTGAACACCAGGTAGCCTACCCGCCGCAACAGGATCATCCCAGCGACAAGCAAAGGACCATGACTGCCATGACTCCCAGCTCAGCAGCTCCCGGTCTCTGAAGAGCTGTACGTCTAACCCTGCCGTGTTCCTTTCCCTAGGTGTGCCAAGTCCCCGGCTGTAGAGGTTGGGGTCACCAGTTTTCAGGTTCCTTGGAGTCACATGGTGACAGTGCTGCCGCAGACGTCTGCAGACTCTAGCTGCTCTTGCCTATTCGAACGGTCCTGAAAAGCCGAATGGTCTTGGAGCCAGGCCCTGTCGTCTTGCGGAAGGCCGCAGGATTTGGAGGCATATGGGCTTGCAGCGGCACCTTTGGCTTGTAAAGTGCTTACCAGGATGGCCCCGCTGCCATTCAAAGAAATTGAATGCAGGAAGCTATGGCTGTTTGTTTATGTCTGTGCTCTTTGCAGTCGGGGGAAGCCATCCCTGAATCAGTGAAGCATCAAGCGGTTGTACTGGCTTGCTGTCCAAGGCACAGGTGATAGATCCCTAGGCATGGGATCCACACTCTTCTGCAGTGTCTTCGACAGCGTCCTTGGCCAGGGTGCCAACTAACCAAGGGAGCTGGGAGCTCGTTGAGAAGATGCGAACTTAATTAGCTTGTCGAGAATAATATGCTTCACTCTATGTATGTATGTGTATATATATATATATACACATGTTTGCATGTATTTTGTGTACTTATAATTACATATAGGTAAACACAACTGAATCAGTTTTTTACACATACACATATATAACTGTACTGTATATGAACATTAAGTACTAATTATGTGTATGTATGCATGCATGTACTTGCGTGTGCGTAAGTGAGAGAGCGTGTGTGTGTGTGTGTGCGTCTGTGTGTGTGTGCGCGTGTGTTTGTGTGTATGTGTAGGTCTGTAAGCGTGTAACTGCAAGTGAAGTAACTTTAAGTGAAGTAACTGCAAGTGAAAGGGTAAGTGTAGGCGCAAGTGTGCGCAAGTTGTAAGTGTGTAAGCATAGAAAAAGGAAAGAGCGAGAGTCTGTGTGTGTAAGGGGAGAAACAAGCGCATCATCTCTCTAGGTAAAGATGCAAGTATAGATACAGTTAACCATGTCATCGATCGAAATATAGGTATAGTATAGACATACCAATAGTTGCAGGTATCGTCTACAGGAAGTCGAGGTACCAAGGAAGAGAAAGACGGAGAGAGCGAAAGGGATTCCAATATTTGAGATTTGCCAAGCGACTGTGACAGCTGTGACAACTCTGGCTTAGCCAAGCTGTCTGCTGACTCCTCAACTCTCGGCACCACTTGCCGCGCCGGCCCGTCTGGGCTACGACTCGCTTTTAGCTCCTCATCCCAGAGCTCAGGATCGGGTATACGCTTCCAGTACCCGCTACGACCCCACTTTGTTTGCCCAGACCGGTCCAGCAGAACCTGCTACGTAAGTTGCATAGATCGAGCTCGCACACAGGTGCACCACGGTCCTCCATATTCTGCTGTAGAGTGTTGAGCTGCTGAGTGACTTGAACCATGTGCTCTTTGACATCCTGGCACTTCGGAGATGCGGGCACTGAAACTCTTGTAGCAAACAAAATGCCCCAAAGGAAAAAACACGTCAACATGCTTTCCACATGTTGTGAATACTCGGAGCTTAAATTTGCACACTACGGTACTACTGGTAGTGCATAGACTTACAAGCACAACACACGTAGAGAAACAAAGAAAGAGAGATATACATATGTATATATATATATATATATGTTTGCATGTATGTATATACTAAGATATAACCTGCTTCTGCATATGTGCACATTTTTGTGTATGCGTCCGTTTCTCTACATGAAACCACATGTGGTCCGTGCACACCTATACATACCTCCAGATGACAGGGCACACACACAGATGTGTGTATATTTATTTTATATGTATATGTAGGCACATGTCAACGTATATACACATATGCACTGTAAGTACATGTACGCATGCATGAACGTCTCGTTTCTGTCTGTGTGATCAATTTTTCCATACTCGCATTCATGCTTACGTGGCTTCATTCCTTCCTTCCTTCCTCTCTTCCGGACATAGGGGACGGTAGTTTTCGGGCCTAAGGCCCACCTGTGTTGTTACGGGCTCAGGGGATTGAAAAAGACAGGCACATGTTCCACGATTTAAGCTAAAGTAATAATGCAGGAACCAGGCAGCTGGAGCAAACCCGAGGGGACGACCAGGAAAATTTCGTCGCTCTCCCTCTCTCTCTCTCTCTGTCGCTCTCTCTTGCGTGCTTGCTTCGCCACTTCACTTCACTTCACTTCACTTCACTTCACTTCACTTCACTTCACTTCACTTCACTTCACTTCACTTCACTTCGGGGCGTAGCGGACATGTCAGGTCACCGAGCCGCTTGGCTCACCCCTGTGCAAAGGCTTTGAGGTGAGTGGCTCTTATGCATGCACTGTGTGTGGCATGTACGCACCTATGCATGGTATGCATGTGCGTAACTTATACATCTATATGTAAGAATGTAGGTATGTAAGTATGCATGCGTGCATGCATGCATACATGTATGTAGGTGTGTGTGTGTATGCAGGCGTGCCCATGGAAGGATGGATGTATGTGTACAGGTATATGATACGGTATATGGCTATGTAAGTAAGTATGTCTGAGGTATGAGTGTGGACACACATACAAACAGACATGTACATGTACGATAGTTGTGCGATCATGTAACGTACGTGTACTTACAACTGTGTCCTTGCCCGATCTCTCGACAACCTTCCTCATGTTGATGAGGTCCTCGCAAGGAAGGGCAAGCGAGGCCTAGCTTTCGGAAACATGAATCAGCACGCACACACAAACAGACACACACACACACGAACGATGTTGAGTTGTGGCTGGAGGCCTACAGAACAAAGAGATAAGCCGAAGTGAAAAACCTTTAAGCTTCGAGTCGAGGAGGATAACAACAGTTCAGCCAATCGCTGACCCGTCCAAGAAGTCGTCCGCAAGGCATCCGAGAAGCTCTGCTATACCCAGATTACCAAGGCAGGTACTCCACAGAGCACAGCATCCCAGCATGTACGGTGACGATTTTTAAGTACTCGCAGTTTTAAACTCCTAAACAGATGTTGCATGCTACCTCCGTTGGCTTCGGGCCCAGGCCGCCAAGCCCATCTTAAATAAGCGGAGCGGCCCGAACAGCACCCCTCACCTCACCCCTTCACCCCCCACCACCCCTCCACCCGACCCCTACCCAAACACATATTGTCCATCAGCAGCAGCCCGAACCACCCTCCAAGGATCTTATAATTAGCACCTCTTCAGACCAATTTAGGCCCCAAAACCCTTTCAAAGAAGAACCCTAAACAAGAAACTTCCAAAGAAAACTTAGCTTCAGAAGCGTAGCACGATCAACTTAGGGATCGCAGTCTGGCCTGATAAATGGAATTGGCAGCCCCCGAGTCACGGGTTTAGGGCTTAGGGTTTAGGGTTCAGCAGCTCTGACCTTGAACATTTCTTTCAGTTTTTTTCAAGAAGACACCCCACCCGCCCATAGAATCCCCTCACATTA